ATGACGGCCAGATGTGCACTTTTTTAAGCTGCGGTCTTTGGCGAAACATTCGGCAAAATTAAACGCGTTCATAAGGCAAAATTTGGGTAGGGGTGTCAATTTTGAACTCGCTAGAACTTAACAGATATATTGGGGAGTGGTGAGAGTTTACCAGTATTATTTTTTTATCCAATGAAACGCGCTTTACGGTAATGTTGCGATGTTCATAAGTTAAAATTTGTGAAACGTGATTTTGTGTCCAAGTTCGCTACTCAAGAAAAAAACAAAGCAAGTTGATTTCACCACTCACTGATCTCTATTGTGTCATATCTGAAGCCGATTTTTTGATTTTTGATTTCAAGTTATTTGCTTTTAAAGGAAGAAAATTGTTCATGTTAGAAGCCTCATATCTTCCATTTGAAAGCCTGTTTAAAAATGTTGCGTCAGATATGACAATCTACAATACACCTAGAATTTTGAACTAAACTGTTCGGGGGCTGCGTGAGTGTCTGAGTGCCCATCAACGAGAGAGTTTGTTGAACTAAACGAAAGTATCTGATTTATTTATGCACTAAGCTTAAAATTTTCAATTTTCATTTCAAGGATTCTGAAATGACAAATTGGACTTCCTCTGTGAAGAGGATTTCCATGACAAGAAAAACCACTCGACTGGAATGCTGCCCTTCAAAAGTTGAGAGGAGAATATGCCAATGACATGATAATAACAGCATTTGTTGAAGTTACCCATTACGAGGTCATTATAGTGACAGTACGCAAGGTAAGAAAGATTTTTGCTGTCACTAAAGGTGCATTATTATCTGCAGCCTGGCTGGCTGAGCAGATCTTTTTCTCATGGTATCCATGGATACAATGAGAAAACAGACATCAAACCTATAGTCTAACCTATACCTGTAGCTAGGCTATTCAACATAATCACACCAGTGGTACTTTTGAAGTAAAAAGCAGTCAAAAATCCAGATGTGCAAAAGGGTGACCTTTTTTTCTTTTTGAGTTCTTCTTTTTAACTTCTTCTTAGGGTATGACCTTGTTCTTACCTTAATTTTGACCTTTTGCAATATATGTTTCTTTTCTTTCTAAGGACACTAAAGAATGTGTTGAAAGCAAAGTGCCTAGAACTGGAGTAAAACTTGGTACTTTTACTTTGGCCATGATGCAGATGCTGAGCACTATATGTCAATAAAGCCTAAACAGAAGGTAACTATATTACCCAAAATTGATTACTTTCAACTCGGTCCGTTGTGCCCTGTAAATTTTCCGCTCATCACTACAGTAGATGTTCTGGGTGAGGTGTAAGGGGTGGGGATGAAAATAAATAATACTTTATATGAACATAGGGTGGGGGCAATATTGGAAGAATATGAGACCAATTTTTGGCCCCTGATAACACACAGAAAAGATCAAGGCTAGCTTGCTAGCAAAATTAAATTAAACACTCTGGTGAATAATAATCTTATTTCAATTTTATAGGAAACTGAAACTTACGCCGATAAAACAAAGGTTCCATGTTCAGCGAAACCATGTGTCAAAGTAGACAGGAAGCCAGCAGAGAATGAAAGTATAAAAGACGAGAATGATGTACATGTGAAAAAAAAAAGTGCCAGCAGGAAAAGGTTGGTTTATTCATGTATTAATATATTTGCGAATTAATGATAGAGTTTGGATCAACTTTCTCATTGACTTTACAGGATTAAAACTCTTTAAAACAGCTGCCAGAAAAATCTATTATTTCTTAAAGGTTACAATGTTTGTATAGTATGTTTGGATGAAGAATACAAAATCCGTGTGAAAATTTTAACCATAAATAACTATCTACCTACCCCACACCCCCAACCCCTCCCCTCACCCCCTATCCCTTACCATCATCCCCACCCCTACCCCCATACCCTGTACCCTTCAGCCCTCACCCCTAACTTCACTCCCCACCCCTACCCTCTCCCACCCTTTACCCCCACCCCTAAGCCCCCCCCACCCCTCTCCCTCACCCTCTACCCCTCACTCCACCCCTCCCCCTCAACCCCTGAAAAGTAAACGCAGTTACATTTTACCATTTTTCCTACAGAATGATCTGTTTCATGAAGAACAAGACGTCATTTCCATTAGCTCTGATGAAGCAGAGGAGGAGATGCAGCCTGGCGAAAACACGTTACAAGAAAATATGGAAAAGAGTAAGAGTCAGGTGAGTCTTGTCAATCCAATTATTAAAGTGGTACTATGATCAAATTTTTCCTGTCTGATTTTCTAATGGCATCATTTAGCGTTAAATGCTGTTAACAGTTTTCAAGTACTGTATCTTTTTTAGATTTAAGAAATGCACAAAAATATGCAAATTAGGAACTGATGACGTCATCTACTGAATCGAAATTGATCTTTATTATATCAATGGAGCTATCTTCGTCAATTTTTGGCAGAAACAATTGAAACTTGGTGACACACATACTGATATAATAAAATCCAGTTACCATGGCAACTTACTCGTTTCCAGGCCCTATAGACCTGATTCCAATTTTTTGATGGTTTTTAGCTGAGAAAAATGAAGTCCAAAAAGAAGTCTACTGAATACAATGATATCCTTGCTTGATCAGGAAAATGAGGCATCACCTTGAAATACTAAAATGCAAGTCTTATTAAGGCCAGAAAAGCCCTAAAAAAGGGGGAGGCCTGGAACCCAGTTTGTCGCAATGGTAACATAATAACATCAATATTATTTACCCTCCACCCTTGTTCCCTTTTCACCCTTTTAATTGCATAGGATAACTGTTGTTAATTTTATTCTTCACTTTTCCTGTATCAGGACTTTGAAACGAGTGGTTCCGAAGGAGAGGAGTTACCACCAACACCAGGGTTCGGACACTGCCCACGTGCTGAGGTATAACATTTTGGTTTATAATAGCCGCCAGAGTGTGGTTATGATCGCATGTAATGTGTAAAAATAAAGATGTGTAGACTGTGCTCCGGGCTTTGCAGAGTTTTACGTTGAATTCCTTTTTGGAGCATTTTTTTTTATTATAATGTCAAACATTTATTTACGCCGCTTTGCATGCCCCATGTGCACATACTGCAACAATATATTGCATTCTCTTTTCAGTTTTACATTACTTCTCTCACGATCTCTATATTTTAGAAAAGAACCAAAGTCTTTGAATCATGGGAGGAAGAGGAGTATTGTCCCGGTCAACCTGTGCTTCCTACAGGATCTTACAAGTATTCAAAGGTACGAGAACGTTGTTTTTCCACTATTGCGGAAAATACGAGCTACCGCTACACTGTAGTGTTCTGTTTTGACCAATTTAGAACAGACTTCTGAAGGTTACCGAAGTATTCTCGAAGAATTCCTATGGGCTACCCTATGCATGGGCCACCCCAAAATTTGAAAATTAATAAAAAAATAAATCAGGCAAAAAATGTCAGGCCCATCAGAAGTTTATAACACTAGAAGTCTTCGTCTACGTAATGGGGTTGCAAAAACACTTCACAGAAATAATGCAGCGTTTTGTTAATGGCTAATCTTATCTATTTCAGCTTGCATCGCCTGTTAGAATCTGCATCGATAGATCACCGTCTAAAACATCTGCCAAAAGTAGAAAAACGAAGAAAATGAAACGAAAGTCAAACAAGAGTAAATCAGAGGCACAACCAACACAGGTGGAGCATTGCAGTTTATTAAGTGGGGAATGTGACATTGAAGACAGTGACAGTGTAGACTCGGAAGATAGTGATACTGCAGAGGCTTCTTCCGTGGAAGAACTGTAAGTATTACTGTAGTTTTTGTAGGGCAGTTCAGCTACCCGTCAGGTTTCAACTTCTTGCCAGTTATGGGATCGTGTGGGGGCGCACGTGCGTTTCGTATTACGTTTCGTGCGCCCCCAAACGATCCCACAACTCAACGCGCGTCTACTCGCCCCAATCTTCGACTCCTTTTGCAAGTGGGCTATTGTCATGATGCTGGTCAGTGGATGCCTTGTTTGACTGACGTCATTGTCAATTAAACAAGGACTCCGCTGACCAGTTTCGATGACCATATCGCGGGCTCGATCCTTAATTTACTTATAGCGGCATTTTTCTGTCAGGGCTCAAACGTCTGTAAGCGAAGAAGAGAACACAGAAGAGAACAGGTAAGCATTAGTATGTCTGTTTAGATACCAGTACTGAAAACAAAGTTACTTTCACAAACAAAACAACAATCAGAATCAGGCAAGTTGTGAAATGCATGCAGTTTTAAAACTTCGGACTGTTTCGGTAAGACGCATGGCAAATATCAAACTTTTCATGCTAGAATTGTGTAGATTTGTTATGTCCAATTTACTTGATTCTGGAAATAGCTATTGCCAATAGGGTTACATTATTTTGTTTCATTCCACAGGAACAAAAGTGAATTATCCAAAGCCCAGATCATCAAGTATTACTTTAACAGACAATCTTTACCGTGTCTGCCGACTAGTCTTCTCGATAAATCTTCCTCTAATAACTCAGTCGTGGCTCTACTTCTCAACGCTGAACAGTGTTACAAAGAGTTTATAGCGACGTCAAATCCTGTTCGAGTCAAGCACAACGTTAGATTTTTAATAAATCTTGACGAACTTAACGACTGTGAAGACTTACTCTCTGACGATCTTGGCTCCTGGAATCAAACAAAGACAAAGAAGAAATGGTACGAAACGAGATGTGATATAAACGGCAAAGTTCAGAAAGTAGTTAAAGTGGGTGACAACTCCCCTGATGCATTTGTAGTGTGCCGCCGTCCATTTGTCAATGCGAGTGACAGGTCTCTGCACAAGACGATAGTTGACATTACCCATCCAGATGGAAAGCACCACAACATCGTTTTCGTAAAATATGAATTCGTTAATGCTCCAGAGCATGAAGTGAAAGTTAAGCACCATGGCAACGCGAAATCGTGCAGTATCCCTTATCTAAGAACCTATAAGAGCACGCGTAAGACACTAGAAAAAAATGCAAACCAAAAAGGTAAAGGCTTAAAGAGAGCTATTCACGAAGTAGAAATGGAAGTGGGAGACATAGCCAACTGTAATTCCGTTGGGGCTTTGCCAAGGAATGAACGTCAGGCAAAATATCTGAAAGAAAAAAACAGTAAAGGGCGTATTGCCGATCCAATTTTCGAGATCACGGAAAAGATGAAAACCGAAGATAAGAAATTTACCAGAGGATACAGCCTGGACGATGAGTCGCCTAAAGTTATCCTGTTTATGGATGAACAGGTTGAAGACATTGTAAACTTCTGCTGTAATGAGGTCCACGGGCACACCTCTTTGCTGTACGTAGACGTGACGTTTCAACTGGGACCTTTCTTTGTTTTGGTGACAACCTACCGAAACACGACACTTTTCACGAAACGCAGTAATCCACCAACGTGTCCAGTAATGCTTGGTCCGGTAATGCTGTGTATGTTGAAAGACAAGGCTACCTACCTGACTTTGTTTCAAAAAATCTCCGCCCAAGTACCAGGTTTGCAAGTAAACCTTAAGGGGTATTGCACTGATTCAGAGGAAGCGCTGCGTCAAGCACTAGCCCAGGTGTTTCCCAACTCCGCATCATTGCTTTGCAAAGTACACGCACAGAAAAACATTGAGGAAAAATGTCGGAAACTTCGGTTTTCCCAGTCGCTGACGAATGAGATAGTTCATGACATTTTTGGCAGTGGGGGTCTAGTATACGCCGACTCCTACGAGGAGTACAACCAAAAGTTAAACTCGTTGACCGAAAAATGGGACCGCAAGGAATTCAAGGACTCACCGGAGGAACTCGCGTTTTCCAAATATTTCAGACGCTACAAGGCAGAGGAGATTTGGAACCACGTTACAGCGAAAGCATCAAAAATGCGGGTTTTGAGGACGAAGTACAAGCCAACAACATTTCAGAGTCAGCAAATGCTTTTCTCAAACGATGGCAAGACTTCCAAGCCACAGACATGGCCAGTTTTATCGAGGATTGTAGGGGCCTCATCACCAAACAGCGACGTGATGTTCAACGGGCATTGCTGGGGCTTTCAAGCCCGTATATACTGAGGCCTGAGTACCAAGGCTCCGTAAAAGGAACTGATACCTTTTTGACCAACAACCTGGTGATCGCGATAACGCCACTAACAATTTAAAAGCCTATGTTGATGCAGAAAATTTCAAGAAAGTTTACGGCCATCGACCTGCTCCGCCAAAATCTCAACTGAATCGTGAAGATGCTGCAATTAACTTAAATGCTCTGTCAGATTTGTTCACAGAAAAAAAATCTGCGGCTGCTTGGCGAGAAGGCGCAGAGGCTTTGTCGAGAGAAAAACATCCGTGCTGGGTTTGAAAAAACTGTTTTCTCGTGAAAAGTGAGTCTCAGCAAACGCCCCACATGGTGAAAAGACTTGCAGACAACGGATATGTTTGCGATAAGCAGTGTTTGGGCTTCAAGTCGCGAAAAATTTGTGCCCACACTGTCGCAGTTGCTGCTCACAACAGGAACGTTACGGGCTATGTAAAATGGTATCAACAACAAGAAAAGAAGGACAACTTGACTGCACTGACAACGTTTGCGGTTAACAAAAGTGCGGGTGCCAAAAGCCAGCAAGAATGCGCCGTAATAAGTCGCCGGACGTTATGACTCAGTCAAGCCAGTTAGGACGGAACACACAAACAAAGACGCTTGGAGATCTAATGGCAAGTGGTGATCGATCGGCATCAAGATATACCGCTGAGACATCTTCTAATCAACCGCTTAGAATAACATTTAGAAGAAGCAAGCCTCCGAAGCCAGCAGTACAACCCACAATGAACACCCCTTTTGAACTAATTGGACTCACCACACGAATTAAAAAATGTGCAGCAGGATGCAAGGGCAACATCAGAGATGGGCCAGACAATTTCTCTAGGGGGACATCGACAACAAATTTTGCATTCGCCACCAAGAGCACGACCTTGTGTGGATCGAGAGCCAACAGAAGTACAAAAAACATTTGAGAACAAACACTTCCATTTATATGGAAATTGCATTCGGGCAAGAAATCCACACTTTGACCCCAGTCAAGTGAACATTCTGAGTTCCCTAGATAGCGGCGACATAGAAATTTTAAAAAGAAAGACTCAACTAGTTTTGTTTCATGTCAAATAAATATACAACTAGGTAACAATCTCTGTGTAACAATCTCTTCAGTTTTCGCAGTTTCTTTATCATTACCTAGGAGATCACGTGATCCGGTCAACATTCTGTTTTATTGGTATTGTACATAACGTTTGTGTTTTACAATTATTTAAAAAATGAGAATTTGTGTTTACCATTAGTCTCTTCATGGACTGGTAAAAAGTATAGGGGTGGGGTCGGCTGGAGCAAAAAAAAAAAGGCAGTTCAGCAATTTTTGAGCCTTGGCAAAGGGGTGGGTCATTTCTTCTTTGAGCCCCTAGAGGGGGTGGGTCATGATGGTTTTCTGACTGAATAAAGCTCTTAGAAGGGTGGAATTGCTAGGTAGGGTAGATTTTTAGGGGGTGGGTCATGTATATACCTAATTGAAAAAAACGTTGTCGCTGTGAAAAGCATAAACCATAAACGATAACACCGAATTATCTTGTTCAGTTTGTCACGGACGACAATCATGTCATTCGATTTCCCACAAAAAATTGGGGTCCCATCGTTTTTTCAGTCGGCAAACTTTTCAGCCTAAGTGTTTATTTAAGCAAGCCCTTTTCAAATCCAACAATTCAAGACCGTTAATAGCCTCGTGCGATCTCTTTTTTTTTTTAATTTTTTTTATTTATTTTTTAAATTTTGGGGTAGCCCATAGGGTGGCCCATAGGGTAGCCCATAGGGTAGCCCATGGGCTAGCCCATGGGCTAGCCCATGGGCCAGGCCCAGGTTTTGTCTACACCCGTTGTAAAGGCTGATAATTATGTGAACAGATTATATTTCGTGGAAACCAGAGCCTTTATCATTTTTAGCACATCACCCTTGCTGTACACTACTTGAAGTTGAGGAATACTAGCATATCAGAGTGCTCTTAAAGATTTAATATTCTTTTTTCTTTACTGTAAATTTCATGTGTAGGTTTAATTGCACACACACACACCCTCCCTTTGGTTAAGAGTAACAGTAGTTTTCACTGTAGTGACATCAAAAGTCTGAAGGTGTCCCTGGTGTGGGCAAAATTAATGCCCAACCCTCAGGATAGTTTAATCTTTGGATCATTATACATTTCTGGGCGACTGGGCAACCTTGTTCCCAGGGCACTTTTCCCTGGCTTTTGATTGGTTGATTGATTTTAGGTAATTCATGTGAGAAAATGGCCAAATGAAAATAATTTATGCATTGTACCGAAATTGAAATGGCAGAAAGAATGTCCACTCCAACAAAGATTTCTGCAAGAAATCCAGTTTACAGGCTATGTGGTGGTTCTCATGAGAGTTGCCATATACTTTGAATATTCAGCAAGGCCGGCTTATCTAAAGATCTGTGTCCGAAATTTTATTAAACCTGTGGTGTAAAAGTTTCTGAGGACGATACGAGGTCAGCAGTGTTATGTAGGGGTGGCATTTACATCGGTAGCCAAAATGGATAAGTTTATTCAGAAAGCTCAATCTGTAGACAATACACCTTCTGATCTAAACTCAGAATATTCTTTAAAGCAATGTGTTTAATGTTCACTGTCTTTGCATCACCCAAAAGCTTTGATGTGGATGATCCACAAATATAAAAGGGGGTTGTAGGCCTACACAACTTTTACCTCATGCCAAAATGCTGCTTGTTCCACAAAGTCTTTTTCCTCTGCTGAGTAGATTATGCTCTGGAAGGTTCTACATTTTCACTGAGCAAATGTGATTTAAGCTGCTTGTTTCACACTGAGAAGTCATGGCACACATATTGATTTGGTCTGGTTTTTGTTTCTGGTCGGCAGGATTTGCCCTCTGATGCAAGAGCATTTTCTTTGACTTCTTTTGAAGCATAAAGCTTTTTATTAAGGTTGAATAATGTTTCTAATTTCTTCAAAGTGCGTTTTGGATCTGAATGACTAAGCGATTTTCTTTAGTCCTTGAATGTTGGATCATGCTGGGCCCAGCTTGTTAGTTTTCTTTGAGCGTCTTTGCAGTATGTTAAATTATCACAGATGGTGATTTACACTGTACAGGTCCAAAATTATTAGAATGAAGTGCAGCTAAAATTAAAGCTGCATTAACTATGGAGAATGCATTGTGACTTAGTAGACTCCAGCTTAGTGTTTTTCTAAAGATAATATGAGTCTTTTGACTGGAGCACGTAGTTCCTCCCTTGGCAATAGCTTTTGAATAAGCTTAACAGTGTTTGGACTGTTTTGTTATTGCCACTTTGTGATCAGGCAAGGCCATGGTTTTGATTCCCCACGTGACCCTCATGAGTTGCCGGGTTGGCTTTGTGCTTAGTTGCTTTTACAAGAGCAACTTTATCTGTTCTTTACCGTGGTGAGAACGGTACAGCCGTGAAATAGCATATAAAGTAGCTCATTGATGCATCAGTCCATTCTAAATCCATCCCCTTTCCCACCAGCAACTACCGGTATAACACTTGAGGAATTTGTCAGTCCCAAGGGTGGGGCACTAGAAGATTGGGATCATCATACGTTTCTGGGAAACTGCCCACCTACTTCTCCCCTAGCCAACATTTTGCCCTTAGGGAGAGGTAAGTGTTAATGTTGGCTTAGGGGAGGGGTAGCATGGGCAGTTTCTCGATGAACCCAATCTTCTAATGCCCCACCCTTGGGACTGACAAATTCCTTAAGTGCCCGAAAGTTGCTGGTGGGAAGGGGAATGGATTTAGAATTGACTGGTGGATCAATCTGCTGTTTTATATGCCAGTTAAGCTTACTATATTCACACTGAGATATACTCAATGAAAAGGTATGAAGTAAATTTTCATTGTGCAAATAAGTTCTTGCCAATCAGTGTAGCAAATAATGTTTTTCACAGTCACAAAAATGATATAGCTAATTAGAATGGCATGGACCTTCTGTGTGTGCAAAAAATGATATCTCTAATCAAAAGCTACAGTGGTGCCAAGTTTCCTGTGTACCCATTCCACTATTTAAGAACCTTCTGGTGCATCGACAACTCTTGCGTAAACACTACATGCATGCACTTTCTATGAAGTATTCCATATAACCGGTATGCCATGGCACTGATTTTTATGATACATGTTTCTTAGCAATAAAATGTTTATTGATTTTCAGAATTTTTGGTGTTGTGAAGTACAGATGGAAGTTAGGATGAAGTGAAATGCACCACCAAAACCAGACAGAAATGTTACCAAGGTGGCAATGAAAATGCCAATATTGTTATGACATTTTTTATGCTAAATCTTGGCAAGAGGTTTCCTGTCAAATGCAATATTCATTGAACCATTATTTGTATAGGGTATAAAAATAATACTTTTCCTTTCGCTGCTAAGCTAGCCAACTTTTGTATTTCCAGGAAAAAATGATACTTTACCAGGGTGCAAAGAAAGTCAGTTTACGGCTTGCCATTTGGGCAAGCTGTAGTTAGCATGTATTAGTCCAAGAGTCCTTTTAACCAGCCCCCAAAAGATGAATTTGATGAGCGGGATTGACAGCAGTTCTTCTGTAATTTGAATTTCGCAAAAACTTCACTTGCCAAACAAAATTCACCAGCCAGATAACAAAATCTACTAGCCCAGGGCTATTGAACATGACTTTCTTTGCACACTGCTTACATGACTTGTGTCACACTTTCTTAGAAGACCAGTAAATTAACGTGAATGGGATGAATAGTTTTACAAATGTGTGGCTTTGGTGGGCATTTGATCAATCTATGTCTGAATTGTAATTTTTTATATTGGGTTCCATCTTGTTTGAGGAGACTTAGTATGACTTAATCACAAAAAGTATCAACACCTTGAGTGGGTGACATACTGCATAAAACTTTTACAAAAACTTTTTGATACATGTACCTTTTATCCACAAGTCAAAAATTGCATCATTTTTTGTTCATAAGTTAAACTCTAATGCCAAGAGTAAATAATTATTTGTTGTGTGTGCAGCCGGTTTCGG